TTATGGAAAGTAACTTTCATAACTAAAAGGTAAAGGAAAATTAAGATATATTTAAAATTAAAAATTAACTCTTACAGTAAAAGGTTGTTAAACAGTATTCATGTATTCATTATATTAAAATTTTAAATTTTAAATTTTAATTAATGTTTGTCCAAATATAAGAGAATAAATACTTATATCAACTTGTACTGTTTTCATTGATTAATCATTAATCAATAAAGGCAAGTAAATAACTAATGAAGTGAGGCACTTTTTTTTTTCTTACCAACAAAAAGTGAGGTGCGTTAATATATATCTAATATTGAAGTACAAATTTATTATTTCAATTTCAATTCTATATATTTAAATCTTAATGACTCGTGCCATCGTATTTACATATATATATATATATATATATATATTAGAAAAAGGATGCATCATTTAATGGATGCTATTCAGTGATTTAAATGCCGCTTTATCACATACTCTCTGTTTTTATTTTTTAGCTTATTTTTTCATATAAACAAAATTACATTTTTCAATAAATATTTATTACAAACTTCTTAAGTTTCTCCTCATAATTTTATGGTTCATAATCATAAGAAATAATTAATGAAGGTTTGAGTTAATCAAGGGTATTGTAATCCAATTTTTTTATTTTTAAACATAATTAATATAATTAATTAATTTTTTTTAAATTGTATGATATAATTTTTTCCTCCTATAAATAAAAATAGTGAGAGTAACTCATGAGGTAATTTTGGAATGAAAGCAAAAAATGAGCATAATTTGCTTTGCATAAAAATCGTCATGAGTTCAGGCCCAAAAAAAAAAAATCGTCATGAGTATCTATTTAAGAATTTCTCCAAATTATAGTTGTCGTCACAATTGATCCAACATTGGCTCCACATATACTGGAGTTAATGGATACTCTATAAATTACTCACTCAACCTTAAATTATAAGATATTTTTAAAGAAAATTTACCATATTAAAACATAACATACTTTGAGAGGATTAGTATTTTATTAAATAGGCTTATTCTAGTATTATCCTTTTCCTTTTTCTATTTAATATATTAATTAAGTGTAGATTTAAGGTTATTGAATGAAGAGTATTTTTAAAAATTTATATTTTTATTTTAAAAAAATAAGATTATTAATTATATTTAATATTTATTGATATGCGACATTTTATTTAAAAGTATCTAATAATTTAAAATAAAAGAGTACTTTTTTATTTTTGATATACAATTTTAAAATTATCATTTAATAAATTCTTAAAAAAAGTGCAATAGTTTCTTTTTACACATATTCTTTTTTTTAATATAGACAAAATTAAAAAGTAACTTATTTTTAAAATAATTTTATTATTATAACTAGCTCACTTCAAATTTAATAAATTAGTTAAAAGTGATTTACTAAAAATAAGATAAGGAGGGAAGTAACATGATGTAGCTAGAGCAGATTCTATTATCAGCAGTGGTGATTTGAAGTTTGAACACATGCCTGGTAGATATACGCAATTTGTCGTTTTAGTATTATTTTAAATTTTTATATTTATTTTATTTTGAATAGAAGCATAGCATAAAATCAAAATAATTTTCCTTGATAATCAACATGAAAAGTACCCAGTGACTACTCTTTCCATTTAAAAATATAAAGTATTTTTAGAGGAGTTGGATGTTTAAAAATGTAAAGCATTTTTAATCTTTTGATGTGTAATTATTGCTTTCTTTTCAAAAGTACCCCTATTGATAAATAACTTTATATTTATTGTAGGGTGTTTAATAAGGATAAATATGAAAAGATAGGATTAATTTGAAAGCAGATAACTACTTTATTAAGAGTAAAATTTGATTAAAAATGTTTTATATTTTTAAACGGAGAGAGTATTTTAATACAGGAATTGGGAGAATTTCAGTATATAGGGTCACTGTAGCAATTGTATTTTCAATCAGTCCCAAAATATTTTAAAATTATACTACAGGACCAAGGATTAAATTGAAGTGTTTTTGTAGAGAAATGACTGAAACACCCTTCAATTATTTTTTATTTTTAAAAAATATTTATCCACCGTTGCTGAAGCTTCGACGTCTGTAGATCGCTGCCAATAGTGCACCAATAGGTCTTGACTTCAAACTCCTTAGCTACCTTTGAATATTTATCTCTGATGGTTGGAGTCGAAGCTTTGGTGACTGCCAATGGTGGTCTGGCTGCCTGAGCTCCAACAGCCATCATTTGGGTGGTTTGGCGGCTGGCGATGGGTTATGGTCATTTTTTTTTGAAACTTATTTTCACTTTGGTCCCTTAATCTTCTTTAATGCTCTGTTTGGTTGAAAAAAGAATATTAAAAAAAAAGAAAACATAAGAAAAATATAAGAGAGAAAATTACGTTTTTCGTATTTGAATAGGAGAAAAAAAGTGAGAAAAAAATAGTTAAAAAAAAATAAGGTGCGAAATCCATCACATTCTCTTCCAACTTTTTCCTATTGAAATTATGTTAATTTTAATATAATTTCTATTTTGAATTTATTTTACATCTATAATTACATGAGACATGATATATTTTGATATAAGGATATTATAATTATTATAATATTTGTTCATTTTTTTCTTCTTATTTTTTCCTGTCCATCCAAACATGAGAAGTAATAATATTTTCTTTTCAATTTTGTCTTCTCTCCATTTTCTTTCCATCCAAATATAGGGTAAATGATTTTTCAGAATTGATTGAGTTGGATTTGAAATAATGCACATCACTGGTCCTAAATTAAAATTTTCCTAAAATTTTCATTGTCTATAAATTATGCCGATAATGCTTATCGCGCGTTCAACAAGTGACTTCAAAGGGTTGCCAAGAAATAAAAGCTCCGTATGCATTACCAAATGGTCAAGATATGGGAGTAATGTTGCTTATAAAATGTGAAAAGAAGTTTTAGTGCTGATCATATAGATGAGTATAGAAAGTCCATTGCCTCTAGACTATTTAAATTTAATTTGAATGATTCAGATGACCAGATTTACATCTTTTTATTTTTATCTTCTTAAAAAAATATTCTAATGGATACAAAATTTAAAATAAAAACAATCTTTTAACTATTAGTTTTTCATAAAAATAATTTTTTATTTAAAAAAACCGGTTGAAAAACTATAAATTTAAATTATGAAAATTAGATCTAAACATTTTAGAGGTGACGAGCTTTCAGTGCTCATCTATATGATAAGCATTGAGTTGAATCTAGTTCCATAAAATGTGCAACCAAAAGTTACTGGTGGAGCTATGGAAACTGCAATTTAATTTCAAAAATAATAATTAAAATTTAATACTTTAATGGTTTTCACAAAAAAGGGTAAAAATGTATATTTTATTTCTCTAATTTTATATAAAATTTTAGTTTAGTTATATTAATTAATTTTATAAAATAATTTTTAATCCTTTAATCCTCTACCATTAATCTCAAATGATGATTTTTTTGGCCTATCATTATAGCATTATTTAAAAAAATCACTTAATCAGTCAACATCGTTAATATTTTATCCAAATTTAAAAGTTTAATATCAATTTTTTTTGTTAATTCCATTAATGGTATTAGAATTAAAGAACTAAAATAACCCTCTGTCCTAAATTATAAGACACTTTTAGATGAAATCTCACATACCAATAAACTTCATTAAATACATTTAACAATCTTATCTTTTTAAAATAAAAATATAAATTTTCAAAAATGCCTATCATTTAATATATTAAAAAAAGATAAAAATTAATTATAGAGAGAGAAAGGATAATATTGAAATTAGTGCATTTAATAAAATCTTAATTTACTCAAAGTGTCTTATATTTTAGGATAAAAAACTTCTTACAAAGTTCCCTATAATTTGAGATGAAGGGAGTACTCTATAATTAAAATTTATATAAAGTTAAATAGCCAAAGTGCACTCATACCAAAACTAATTACATACCTTACAAGTGATAATTTCATGTTCTGAGTTGTTTTCTACGAAGTTGAGTGCTAGTGTTATTGAAATTATCCTTTTCAGTCACTAAGCAATTTGTAAAAAAATAAATTGGAGAGTAATTTTAGTCTCGGTTCAAATTACTCTTAAATTAAAATAGTACAATTCCAAGATATATATATATATATATATATAAAATGTATTTGGTTCTAGATGGGTCTAATGATACGCGCAAAATCTTAGAGTTGGGAAATATCAAAACGAACACTATTTTTTGATGTGCTTTTCTTTGAAGTGAGGTAGTCCTGCTTCCACTCGCATGTGTGGCTCCGCCTCCAGCAAAAAGGCTAAGAAAGGGTCCACCATTTTGTGGAGTTGGCTATGCACAAGTGTCTCAGCTAACCACCAACTACATATACGCGCGTTATCTTATAAGACATTTTTGATATATTTACCGTTTAGTTAATCACCTTTAATATTGTACATTTTTTATATTTATTTTTATTTAATATTTTTTTATTAAAAAATTTTATTAGTTACCCTCCAATTAAGAGAATTTAATTTTTTTAAAAAAATATTTATTAATTATACCTTAAAAGATAAAAAAATGTATTATATTTTTTAAACATGATATTTCAAAAAAAAAAGTATCTTATAATTTTTAACAGAAAAAAAATTTAAAGGGTTGAAGAAATGCTTATTATGATGAGAATCTTCAAAATTAAAGCCTAACATATGGTTTCGTGGGGCATTGAAATAGATTCAATTAATAATTAAGGGGGGAAAATAATTAATGCAATGATTTTGGATAAGACTATAATTGTTTAATACAAAGTCTCGACTTTAAATTCACAAAAGATGCCTTTAATTTGGGGTGGAAAAAAAAAAAAGTTACGTCCGTTTGGGACCTTATTACCCGACTCGAGTTCAAATTAATTGCAATTATCAATATAGCTTTCGGTTACCAAATGGTTAATTTAAAAAAAACAAAGAAGAAAAGGAAAAATAAATAAAAGAAAAAAGAACATTATAAGTAGTACAGGATATCGTTGTTTACAATGCCCGTAATACAAGTTATCAATACCAGATAGTAGCATTGAACTACATTCCAATATACCCCAAAACATGGGTCATAGAATCCTGCTTCTCTCACTACTTTACCTTTTCGCCGTTCTTTACCACTCTTCACAACCCTCAGCTTCTTCTTCTTCTTCTTCTTCTCACAACAATTTCATACGTTGTCTCCTCAATCATTCCCAACCCTCACACCCCATAAACTCAGAAATTTTAACCCCAAACAATGCCTCTTTCTCTTCAGTCCTACAAGCCTACATCAGAAACCTCCGTTTCAACAATTCCTATACCAGAAAACCATACCTTATACTCACTCCCTCACATGTCTCCCATGTCCAGGCAGCCATTATTTGTGCCCAAAAGCACAACTTACAGATGAAGATCCGAAGTGGAGGTCACGACTATGAGGGCGTGTCATACAGATCCGAGACCCCTTTCTTCATCCTTGACATGTTCAACCTCCGGTCCATCCACGTCGATATAGAGTCCGAGACGGCTTCGGTTCAAACCGGCGCGACTCTCGGCGAGCTCTACTATAGAATAGCAGAGAAGAGTAAAATCCATGGCTTCCCAGCTGGTGTTTGTCCCACAGTTGGTGTAGGAGGACATATAAGTGGTGGTGGTTATGGAAATATGATAAGAAAATATGGTCTGTCGGTTGACAACGTTGTTGATGCAGAAATAGTCGATGTTCATGGAAGATTGCTGGACAGAAAATCCATGGGCGAAGATCTATTCTGGGCTATTACAGGTGGCGGAGGAGCTAGTTTCGGAGTGGTAATTTCGTACAAATTGAACCTCGTACGAGTCCCTGAGGTTGTCACTGTGTTCGAAGTTGCTAGAACGCTTGAGCAAAATGCTACAGATACATTATACAAGTGGCAACATGTTGCTACGAGTATTGATAATGAACTTTTCATTAGGGTTATTATCGAAGTGGTTGATAATGATACTCAAAGTGATCAGAAGCAAAAGACAGTGAAGGTAACATTCATAGCCTTGTTCCTTGGTGACTCAAAAAGGCTAGTTTCTATGATGAACCAGAGCTTCCCTGAATTGGGTTTGAAGCAATCTGATTGTATAGAAACAAGCTGGGTTAGATCGGTGTTTTTTTGGTCAAACATGAAAATTACAACGCCGGTGGAGATTTTACTTGATAGAACAGCTTATTCAGTGTACTATTTGAAGAGGAAGTCAGATTTCGTAAAGGAAGCAATTTCTAAAGAAGGATTTGAAGAGATATGGAAGAAGATGATTGAGTTGAAGCACTCAGTTATGTATTTCAATCCTTATGGTGGACGAATGGCTGAGATTCCGGCAACCGCAACTCCTTTCCCTCACCGAGCTGGGCATTTATGGAAGGTACGTACATTATAATAAATACAACTGGAGAGACCCCTCTCCCCTGTTATTTAGTGCCTGTTTTCTTTTCTCTGTCTAGTGGGTCACTGCACATACATTTACCAGAAGAAGCAACAAATTAATTTTTGCTTCTAAAATAATGGAGCTTTGGAATTTGTGTCAATCGGTATCCAAAGAGATTTTACCATTAATCAATAGCGCATATACTTTCACCAGGGTATTAAAATGCAACCCAGTTTAACTGTTTGTGAACCGGTAAACCAATTTTCTAAATGGCTCAATCAAAAGTTTTATACGAGTTATTGGAGTTAAATATTTTCCCCCCTTTCCTAAACCTAAAATGACATTATTTTGAGTTAAGAAATAAAGAAAAAGATTTCAATATGTAAGATATTTGTACTTTAATAATTCTTGTTTTGTTAGACTGTATGTGATTTATACATGAATATTTTATTTATTTATGACTTCATATCTTTTTATTTAGATATTATGCTTTAAGATTAGTATATATGAATATTTTTATGTATTTTAATTAAATTATATTATTTTTAATACATTTGGATTCTCTCAGTTTATTTGTGTGGTGGTGCTCTATTTTGAAATCAATAAAAAAATTGTCATCACCTTATCATGGGCGCACACATATAGAACAGGGTTAAACCTCAAAGGTTTTTTTTTTTAATAATTATTTTTATAAAGCCTTAAAGGTGTTGTATCCTCTCAACTATTCCTCTAGTATCCTAAATTTACATAAGATATAATTTCTTATAAAAGTATAGAAATTACAGAAATTAGTTCATAAAATTATATGTAAGTATTAAATTTTTTATAAAAGAATTTATAAATTTATGAGATTTTTTCTAGAACTTTTAAAAATTTTACAATTTTTAATAAATTAATATTTAAAATTATTTTTAATAATAAATTTCCCAGTATTCTATTTTTAAATTTTAAGAGAAAATATTGAAAATAATTAAATGGTGAAAATGACTTTTAATTTTTTGTTGTTTTTTTGGAAAAATGACTTGTAATACCACAAGACAAAACGATTTGGCCCTTCGCTCCGTAGTCCGTATGCATGCCCTTCCTGCACGGAGTGATAAGTGGGGTCTACCTATCTCATGAGTCACTCTCTATTCGTACGTGGACTCGGTTTTGGTGCTCATCTGGGGCTCAGCACCAAAACACTGCCGTTTGGCAGTGTTTTTTTTTTTTAAACACAAATTTATTATAATAATAAATAATTATTATAAAATTATTTTTTTAATATTTAATAAATTAATAAATATTAAAATGTTAAAATTAAATCTGAATAATTTGAATAAAAATTTTGTTCTGAGCATTGAAAATTATATTAAAAAAATAAAAAATAATTTGAATAATTTAAAATAGGAGTTGAATGTAGCAAAATAAATCAGTTTCTTACACTATAATAAATTAATGTTTAAATTTTTATTAAGAGAAGTACTTATATTTAATATTTGACTATGCTTTGAATGATATTATTTCTCATAGATAAATAACTGTATAAAATTAATAAAATAAAAAAATATTTTTATTTATAATTTTAATATTTTAAATACAGTTCTGAATTGTTCAGATCAAAATTTATATATAAATTATTGAAATCATATATTAATGAGTTAATATGTTCATATTTAATTTTAACATCTTAATATTTATTTATTTATTAATATTAAAATAATAATTTTATAATATTTATTTAATATTATAATAAATTTGTAGTTTAAAAAAACTTAAAAAAAAAAAAACACTGTCAAACGGCATTGTTTTGGTGCTGAGCACCATGGCGCTCATCCGAAACCGATTCCATTCGTACGTAGACCCTGTTGTGTGCAGGCAGGGGCGGTTGGGTGGACCCGGCTTTTGATAATGACGGTATACATAATATTTTATTTGCAAAAATATGGGGCCGAAGCGAGGGCTCTCTCATGTCCTTATGTAAGTTGCTCATGATATTTTCATTGAAAATATTATAAAGATATTATTATATTTTTTAAATTCAAAAACAAAAATATTTTAACTTTACTTAATAAAGATAATTACATCAACTTTCTTTTTACAAATCTTAGAAAATTTATTAGTAAAATTACGGATAAAAATGTCCACCTATTAAAAAAATGATTATAATAAAGAATTAAAGACCGAATGATGGAAGGAGTATGCAATGATGCATGTATAATATTTATTCTTGATTTGGATGAGGAGATGAGAAAAATACCAGGACAAAAAAATTTTTAAAAATAGTAAATTTAAAAATTTAAAAATAAATTAATTTATTATTTTTGAGAGTTTTCCTCCTTGTATTCTCTCCTCCCTATGTTCCATTTAATTTTCCTTCCATCTAAACTAAGCCTTGTATAATACTAAAATAATTAGCAATTTAGAGGAAGGGCATACATAGTATTGAAATTCAAGTGAACTTGGTTGGTTGAACCTCCGCCTTGACCAGTTTAATTGATCATAATTGGTCTAACTATTAACCCTTAATACTTATGTTTTGACCCGTCAGCTTTTCAGTATTTTAAGGAAAGGTCATGCCTCATGCCAGCCCATTCAGAAAAAGGAATAACATTCCAAACTCAAATAAAATATCATTTTTCAACTTAAAATAGTTAAAGTTAAGTTGTTAAATGGCATAGTTTGTGAACAATTGTGTGTGTTAATAAAAAAATCAATGTGATTTATATATTTCTTATAGACTCTTAATAATAGCTATATATGTGTAAACACAGATACAATACCAAGCGAACTGGCACGAGGAAGGGAAAGAGGTAGCAGATTACCACATAAGACAGATCAGAAAACTTTACAAGTTCATGACTCCATACGTGTCCAAGAATCCTCGAGTAGCATTCTTGAACTATAAGGATCTTGACTTGGGAATCAACCAGCACAGTGGTAATAGCTACCAACAAGGCAGAGTTTATGGAATCAAGTACTTCAAAGACAACTTTCACAGGTTGGCTCAAATCAAGACCAAGTTTGATCCTTCCAATTTCTTTCGCAGTGAACAAAGCATCCCTGTACTACGATGCCAGCAAATTTCAAGGGATATATTTACACATATACATAGCCATCGAATGACCTCATAGAGGCTTATCTATCATGCATGTGTATCATTTATTATTTCATTGTATGTTATGGATCGAAGAAACTGCTTCGATAATATTAATAATGAATAATCTGTCCTTATAATTCATAAAGGGACAGGGGTTCAGATTAATTAGAGTACTAAATTTATTTGAAATATTGCTATGGATTCTAAATAGTAACTATACAACTTCGTGGTTACTGCGAAATTGAGATTGTGTATTTGTCTGTGTATTTTAATGCAACAAAGCTTTTACACTCTAATCATGCAGTGTGTGCGTGTGTGTATACACATATATTATAATACCTTCGTTCATACCCAGTTAACACATGAATTTCTTTGTTTTTTTTTTTTTGAGATATAAATTGGGATATTTAAAAAATTGGTAAGTTAATTATTTTTTCCTTATAAAAATGTGTATATGAATAAAGTGTAGGAATGATTGAGTTCCCGACCATAGAACAAATACTTTAATTATGTCTCATAATTGTTGGAGATGAAATTTATCGCAACGCATGAACCTGTGATGATTGTATTTCAATGTTTCCTTGTCGCAAGTGGTTGTGATTTAAAAAAAGAAAAGAAAAGAAAAAAGTGTGGTTGTCACTATTTCAACCAAGGAAAAGAAAAGGCTGTGGTTGTGATAAAATGCGAAGGACGGAGACACACGGGAATCAATATTAAACACTCGGAAAATTAACAAATAAATTACTTATATTATATTTTCTGTTCAAATACAAATTATATATTGACCTTCAATTTTGTTTATAATATATATATATATATCTCTTTAAATTATAAAAAAAATTACTGCAAGAGAAAAAAATTTAAAAACCTAAAACTGATGTTTGATGCGAACCCATTGAATAATAATTCGGGTTTGGGACGTCCACACTCCTCGCTTTAGAGCCAAGCGGGTCCGTGCAATAATTGAGATTCTTTAATTATCGACTAGACGTACAAGTTTTTCTTTTAAATAGTACAAAGAGTAAATTTCCTATAGTAAAAGATTGTGGGTGAATCGCACTAAAGGGCTTCAAAATACAAAAAATTACACTTTAGACTTAATAGATTCTTATAAATACACTGCAAGTTTGTGGCTCTTATTGCAATTTTTGTTGGATGCAAAAATACAATTATACCCCTCTCAAAACTAAGAAAGTCCGATCTAATCTTCTCCCTCCTCTCTCTTCCTCTTTGTCTCTCTCCTCCTCCTCACAACATTGCATCACAGTTTTTCAATTCTTTCATTCTCTCTGTTATCTTCTCGATCTATCTATGCTTCTTGAGGGGAGCCAACAAACAAGAGTTAGTTTCTAGACATCTCAATCTCACTACACTTATTGTTGTCTCGCAAATCACTTTTCCTACATGAGCATCGGTGAGTTCTTTAGCATCAAACCTCTAAAACTCAAATTTCTTTATAAGTTTTATTTTAAATCTATTCATTTTTTATTTGGATACATGTTTATGGAATTTTTGGGATTTTATGGAAACTGTTATAATAGTTGCAAAAACTAAAACTTGCTATTATTGGTCATGAATATTTGAATTCAAAATTCAGAATTTTCTACTTCATCTATTCACAACAACTCAGTGATAGCAAGTTTTGATTTTAAAAACATGAAAAATAAAATGAAAATAGTTTTAAAATATTTTGATTTTATTTTTTAAAATAAAAAATAAAAATTGTTTTGAAAACAATTTAATTCAAAACACTTCTTCAAATAATTTTTAATTTTTTAAATAAAAAACTGATTTTTGAAAGCAAAAAACAAATATGCCCTAATGTCTGTTGATGCTCTCTCTCTCTCTCTCTCTCTCTGTTCCTTTTTTTTTTTAAACCATTTCTGTTGCAGGCCAATCTTATCCTTTTGGGCCTTTTTTATGTACTAATTTAGTCATTTAAATAAATTTGTCTATTATTTAAAAAAGTGCTATATATTTGAAATCAAAGATATTTATAATAAACAAATAAAATACCACGATCATCTCTCACAGGTTCCCTTTCGCTGTACAAGATAAAGATTGAAGGAACATAAACACCACAAAAAAATCAAGAAGAAAACAACAAGGGGAGAGGGGGGGGGGAGAGACAGAGAGAGAGAGAGAGAGAGAGAAGGAGAAGGGAAAAAAAAAACTGAGGTCTGATTTGGCTTTACCGCAGTTAGACAAATATGCTTTTGTTGCAAATATTGTGGCAGCAATACATATTTTCTCGCGGCAAAATATCGTGAGGCACAGCCAAAGTGGCAATCTTTATTAGCCGATACACATTTGATTTTTTGATTGCGACTGTGGCATATTCTCTATGAGAATAAATAAATAAATATTTTTATTTTCTTATTCTTCAAATTTACATTGATTTAAGAATTTCAAATATTCGTTATATGAGTACTAAATTGAACAATGTTATTTACACGTGCATAACTGAATTTTAAATAACAAACAATAAACAATTAAAATATTTAACTAAGTTTGATAAAATTGGTTACATTACATAAATTATTTATTATTTTCTTTGAAAATGAAATGAATTTAATTAATGAAAGATTGTGAGCTTACTCAACAATTTTTGATCGAAAAATAAAATTGAAAATCAAAGAGAGAAAATAAGAAATTAATACGTGGCCTCAATTTCTTGGTGGCATATTCCGTTCAACAAACATCCTTAGCAGTCAGCATCCAAGAAGATACGATTGAACGATTCTTAAACTTCAAAGGAATATTGGCAAGATTTTTATAGACAAAAATCGCAATGTGTTGCGGACATTTTTGTGTAGGCAGCAAAAATCTGTGAACAGGAAAAATCCTTGATGTTTTTGCATTTTTTGACGTACAAATAATAAAATGTTTATAAATATTAAATTTTATAAAGATATTGATGTGTACATTTTTATCTATTATTATTTAACAGCCATAACACTTAATTCTGCTTAAAACAGTATTGAGTTGTATATTTTCACTGAACCACCGTTTGTCATGTGCAGATGACGTGGTTCATCATTGAATATTTCTTCTGTTTGTTGGGTTGAGAATGGAGTGGAGGAGAGTGGGAAGGAGGTTTTAATGAATTCAGATTTTAAAAAATTGGGTTGAAAGTTTGTAATTAATTCTCCTTTTGTTTTTACCAACTTGTAATTAATTTTGTTTGCTCTTTTCTTTTGTATTTTCTATTAAAATTTAATAGCTCTACTTGTTTTGCAAATCAGGTTCGTTAAAATATTCTTTCACATCTCCTCGCCTCAATTCCCCACCAACCATTGGCAGAATCAGGATCCAAAGTGCAACATAATATAATTTAAAAATTAAAAAATTATATTAGGAATAAAATGGTAAGAACATAAGTAAATTAATCATCACTTTTTACAAAAATATATTAAATAGGTTGATATAGTCTTTTTTTAAAAAATATATCCTTCATATCTTATATTTATAATTAAAATGTTACTTATTTAATAAATTTTTAAGACCAAATATTTTTTTTATTTAGCTCAGAGGGAGCACAATTTTAAAAATAAAGGGTGAAAAATTACAAAATTTGCACACATAATTTGTATTTTTTTTTCAAAGTGAGGGGTGCATTTGTCCACCCTCACTAATAAGTAACTTCGCCATTTCCTCCAACTATGCATAGCGTTCTGAATGTTTGATATACGAAAAATTATTATTACTTTTTTTTTAAAAAAAAAGATAACTGTATCTATAAAGAAAATAAAATATATGCACGTTTACGGCGATAGTTGAAGATGGTGGACGTTGAAGAAAAAGTGTCTCACACTATGGGCATGTTGGTAATTTCAAAGAGTTCCTTAGGCGTAATATGGTCAAAAACTAGTTACACTAGATTATTCTTAATTTTTGTTGGGTAAGCCTGAGTGATAGCAAACAAGGCCCATACATTTATTCATCATAAGAACTTTAAAAAATTATGGGGGAAGATTTTAGTGGTGTAATTACGTGCTCATTAAATTTAGCACTTAATAATTGTGTGAATCATCATAACGTTTTGAAACTTGGAGAAAACTTATAAACTTAAAATACTTGTTTCTAATTAAATTAAGACATGTTTATCCTTTATAGATTATTTATTATTCCATAATAAATTCTTGTTATTAATATTGTTAACATAATAAAACATGTTTGTTTTGATTTGATTCAACAAAAGCATATTAAGTATATATATATATATATAAGGCTAAATACATAAATTTTATTCTTAAAACTTCATCACTAAACTCCCCTTCCAAGTAGGGGGTCGTTTCTCTCTTACCTTGTGGAGCTTTGTTTCTCTCCACCAATGCGAGCTTCGTCTTCGTTGCCTTTCTTCAGTGCTTAGAAGCTTCGTCACCGATGGCAAGCGTTGATAGGCAATGTAAGTCTATTTCTCTTGCGCAATTTCTTAGTGTGCAGTAAGGTCTGAATTCTCAATTTAGCCATTTGCGTACTATCTCAGAATGTAACCCAGCTATCTGTAAAATGTTGGAACGAAAACAAATTACTTATCAGCAAAGAGAGATGGCGAGAGGAGAAGGCTTAGGCCCAACTAGTATTATTTAATGAGACATGAAACTTGGGGCGCTTGGTTATTGCGATTTTACTTGGACCCGTGGCTCAAGAGTCAGAAAAAAGAAAACATTCTCACTTTGATAAAAAAATTATGAGTTTGTTTAGCAATCTGTTTTTTTAAAAAAAAAAAATTCTATTCTCCACAATAAAAGAAAAGTTTATTTGATAATGTGTTTTTTAGAAAGTGTTTTGAATAATAAAAAGACTAGATATTGTTATGGAGAATAGAAAAAAAAAATATTTTTTAGATTCTGAAATTTTTGTTTTGAAGAACAAAAAAAATATAAAAAACACTTATTTTTATTATTTTTTATTCTCAAAACATGTTTTACAAAACACTTATTCTTAGAATAATAAAATAAAAATATTTTTAAACAAGCCCTATATCATTTCTTTGTTCTTCAATACATTGAGAAGATGCCTATTCATATTCATATTAGTTTAGAGAAGACGTGACATTAACCTTGAATTGTGGATTAACAGGGGTTACAAATATCACATTATTGGAGGGTTATGAGATTTTATTATGACACAAGAATGTATGAGAGTTAAGAAGATGAAGA